CAGTATTTTTTCTTAGGATATCAGGCCATGTTTCAATAAGAGCTCACGCAGGATGGATTTGCAGGTGACAGACCCTGTTTGATGCTGCCTTTTGGTGCAGAAGAGCAAGATCACCATGAGTTCTGCATCAGCATAACTAGAAGCTGCTTCCTTAGCATAGCAAAGCTAGGCTGAGCAAGTAAAAATCTACAAAAATCCCTGTGCACAGGAGAAAAAGAAATAATAAAAAGCTCTTTGTGAGCAATCTGCAAGGTCTTGTATAAAGACACTGTTTTGCAACATCAGAGGAAGTTCGCTCTCATTGATAAGGTGTCGGTTGGTAAACCATCTCACCACTAAAAAACTCCAAGAGTGAAAGGGAAATCCCCAGGGTAAAGCAGAGCTGAAGCAAATGCCAATTATAAAGGAGCTTCCTCACATATATAGCCAATCAGGTCAGCAGAACACTGGAAAGGAAACTTGAATTTAAAAATATACTATCTGGTTTGCAACACTGGAGCCAAGGGGCAACCACATTTTATTTATATGTGCATACAAATATGCTTAAATAGAAGCAAGGGGTTATTTTTCTCAAGAATATGCAAGATTTCAGCCTTCGTAAGTCCCTTTTACACTTCAGCAACATGTAATGCTGTGTGGAGTTGCCCCAAAATAATTGGAAAGATATATCTGTTTTTCACCTGACTTAGGGATTCATTATTTCTTCCATATCTCTTGTGGGACAGAGGGGTTAATATTCAGTGGCTTCAAAGATCAATGCAGAGGGATTTCTACAAGACCTGCAAGCTGCAACATGGTTTTCTATCTCCTTGATCCTATTTAGGCTTCCTTTATCATCTGACAAACTTTTTAGATAGTATTTAATGGCACTGAAATCCTCCCTTGTTGTTGCCTAGGATCCAGCTATCAGCTTAAGGGTCTAGCTAACAGGCTGGAAGTTTCCTTTACACTAAGGACATCTCAGTGTTCATGGAAGTTGAGACATTTTTGGTTAAAAAGCTAACAAATTTGGTTGCATGGACAACTTGTTTTTTGACTAGCTGCTCTGGCAGCTAAATTCTCTGGCAAACAAATTAAGTCTATTTGCAATTAAGTTAAACTTAGCCAGTAAATTCATGTGAAAAAAGCAGGTGGTTCACATCACTGAATGTGCAGCAAGTGAAACACTGCACAACCTGTGCACCAAAGACTGACTTTTCCTGGAGGCAATAAACCGTCCTCATTGGCACTAGCCTCTTTCCTGAACTGTACTTGAAAAGAAGGGAAAAACGGAGTCATCTGACAACATTTATTTTTTTCTCAGAAAAACTTCAGTAATAAACTCTGAATTTCTTCCACTTTGTGGGATTATATAAACTGAAGAAGAGCCAGTAACCAAACTGTTTCCAGAAATGCCCTCTGTTTTAAAACTCATGACTGATCAAATCACCACCTGAACAACATTTCATAAAGTTGCCTTTGCATTTAACACACACAGGAGGGTAGTACATGTGCAGTGCACAAAATGCTACTGGTGCAAACAAAAAATCCTTTTTCTAGGGAAACAGCATCCTTTATCCTATGAATTGTGCAAAACACAGCATCATTATTTCAGCCCTGCATGGGAGATAAAGGATCAGAGAGGCAGTATCTTTTACATCATACAGTGGGTTTGCAAGGAGATTTGAAAGGTAATGTGTTACGATTGTAACGACAGGTTGTACTTAACACGTACAGCAATCAAGTATCTACTCATCCAATTCGTTTCCCTCTCCTTACCCAAGCAAGACTAAAAACACTGGAGTCTTGTTATTACAGCACTGCCTGCAAATACTGCTCTCTCTGCTGACTGAGGCAGGAACTTGGAGCACCACAGCCTAAACACGCAGATGTCTCGCATCGATCTGCTTCCTGTTAAAGACTCATACGAAGACAGAGACATATAAACTAAGCAGTCCAACACTAAACACCATCAGACTTCTTTACTTTGATCCACACTCAATATGTTTAGCAGCTATTAAATTACCAACCTGCCTCAGACTTGGCAAAAAAAGCGCAGAAATTAATAAAATAACACATACACACACATAACAATCAAAATTTTTCCACTGAGTAGCAGAATATTCATGATGTAGCCCAGTGGGTTGGCTTGCTGCCCTAATTATGACTTACCAAGGGAAGCAAAAAAATGAATTCTGTAATTTTAACCTTAAGTATCTGAGAAAGTTATTGCCTGAAGTGAACATCGAGCTAGATTTAGTCATCTGAGCGCTTTTCAAAATTACAGCAAGTACTTCCTTGCATTGTTAGGCATTGTTATTCACAGCAAAAAAAAAAAAAAAAAATCAAAGCTGTAAATTATACTCCTCATTTTTACTGAAAATTAAAACAGAAACAAATAATATTTTCCCGAGTCAAGCAAAACAGATTAGCCTAAATTGAGCTGAAGGGGCTAAATCTGCTTTATTTTTCATCCTTTCGAATGCAGCAATTTCTGCACTGAAGACATCTCTGGTTAGAGTTGTACCTTTGTTTTCTACTCAGTTCTTGAAACATGCCCAAGTGATCCAGATGAGGCAGATGCACCGTTACCCCCCAGGTCATACTGCACATTAATCAGCAGAGTTAACATCTTTGCTGGGGGCTAAAGTTCATTCATTTTGAGCAAGTTGGCTGAGCTCAACTGGTACTTGCCTGGCAAGTCACCTGCTCTGCTGGCCACCACTCTGGAAGGAATTGAAAGTCTGTCGTTGGCCTCCTGTGGGGGAAACGAAGCTTTCACAACGCTACCGGCCAGCCAGTGCATTCCCCTAAAACGTTTAAGCCACTTGGTTCATTTCAACCGACTTTTGATGTTTCTAGAATATTAAATTTCTAAAAGCTTTAAGAAAAATAACGGGGGAAAAAAAAAAAAAGAAGAATTGTGGATTGTGGAACTGGGTAGAGATGAAACACACAGAACAATGTATTGCTTGAAGGAAACCTCCCAGCCAAACTCAGTAAACTGTTGTGTTTGGCCTGCAGGATGGCCGAGCCCCACAGCAGGGGGACGGGCAGCAGATGTGTTCTGTGGGGCAGCCAGAGCTTGCCTGGCCTCCTGCTGAGCTGCACGTGTCACGGGGAGAACCTGGAGATGTTCAGGAGAGCAGTCAAAGGCATCAAAGGCAGAAGTGGGTGCTAGTGCAGTCCGTGGGAAGGAGAAAAGGTAAAAGGTGCAGACAGATCTATAGGAAATTACATCAGATAGTCCTGTTTGCATGAAAAAGCTTGAGCAAACAGAGGAATGGTTGGGACTTGCTGAGTTCAGTTACCTAATCTTAGCTTGGGCCACTACTAGACACTTCTAAATTTGTGCACTTTCCTTAGAAGGGCATCTCTGGAAGAACTAACCCCCTGAAAAAGTCTTCTTAAAGATGTTTTACAACCCAAAGTCTTGGGCCACATTACTGATGTTTCAGTACTGATATTCTCCGCATGCCACTCATTTTCTGAATTTAGGAGCCTTCTCTTGATGAGAAGGCTTCAAAAGAGAGCTCGGAAGATAGATGATTTTTCAGGGAATAACCACAAAAGTGCACATTCTAGAAGCTGTGCAACAATCCAATGGATACAGCCTGCAGTGTAATGTATGGAAAAAAGCATTAATTAAAAAATAGAATAATGAGTGGCTTTATTCTACCCTCATGTCTGCAACTGAGGGAAGAGAAAAAAGACAAGGCATTTTCTCCTTAAAATGTAATCAGTAACACACTCCCATTTATAAGATTTCTGCTTGAAACAAAATAAATCTGCATGCTAATAACCAAAATCTTCCTGCATGCTTAAGTATCCTGGGAAGTTCACACTGGAAGCTGAGGGCTCTGCTTCCCTGGGGGGGCAATTACCCAACATGAGGTAGTGCAGAACACCCTGGCTCTTGCCTCTAGGAGCACATTGCAAAGCTACTGCACAACTTGCTCCCTGCTACTTCTTAGCCACTAGCACAGAGCAGCTTTGAGAGAATTGCTTGCCCTCCTCGTTAAGGAAAGTGTTTAGAAGTATTCTAAAACAGTTTCTGTTTTTCTGGGTCACTTCTGCTAGCAAACTCTAATGTGTAGAGTTTAGAAGTCTTTAATTGTGAAGCACATTGTCAAATTGCATCATTTGAATTAAACTTTATAGTTTTGCACAATGGTTGCAAAATTGGTTGCTGGTGTCTTTCATTTTCTACCCTGCTGGTTATTGCTGCTAGGCAGGCAGAGCTAACAAGCATCACTTGACACCACAACAGGCAAAGGGCACGATTTTGAAGAAAAAAATATCAGTTAAATGCATGAAAAGCTTTTAGCATGAGCATAATCAGCTATTGGAACAGAGGCCAGAGAGGCTGAGAATTCTCCATCCTCGAGACAGGCAAAACTTGGCTGGACAAGGTCCTGAGCAACCTGCTGTAATCAGAGGTCCTTTGAGCAAGATCATATTAATTCCACGGGTCCTTCCCAGCCTACCCTGTGATTCTGCGACAACCAAAATTTGCCTGCTAGGCACCATGTTCCATGTTAGCTGCCCAGAAAATTGCTACCACTATTGGGCACAACTGCCTTCTTCACATACCCACACTTGAACTGATCCCCGACAAACTAGGGGCGAACTTACACACCAAAACTATCAACACAGCAAACAGGCCAAACAATTATTTTTACTGCACAGCAGTAGCTGACAGGCTCCCCTGGAAGGAAATTGCTTTCATGTTGCCCTGTCCTCTGGCTGCACGGGTCCTTGCATGTGTGTTTGGACATCTGGAGCAGGAGTTCTTTCACTTCTACAAAGCACCTGGGCGAACAAAGATGGGATCTTTTGTTGAAATCACTCGGTATGACTGTAACTCAAACTACATGAAGCAGCAAAAACGCTCAGAAAAGATGCATACAGTGGTAATGAGAGACAGGGAGTTTTTCCTCAGCACAGAGCTTAAAGAAAAGCAAAGTTACAAAGAAAAACTTGGTTCAAAATTTCCACCTACAAATTATAGCCAATCCCACCTGTCGTTCCTCTTCAAGACGTATTCTCTCCTCTTCTTTTCGCCTTTCCTCCTCTCTCTTTGACTCAAGTTTTTTCCGTTCTTCTCGCTCTGCTTCTTCAGCCTAAAGGAAAAAAAAATTGCAAGCCAAGACTTATTCTTCTTGAATATATGTAATTTTAAATTTCATATTGTGATACCGTGGGGGGTTTTCTTATTATCTTCCTGGATGCGTGCTCAGATAGAATAAAGAAACAAACCAATTAAAAAAAGAAAAAAAAAGTCATTACCAATTAACTTTTCCCCTAGATCCTTAGAATATTTAATATTGTGATAAGTTTATAAATTATCCCTCTGAAGGCTCTTTCACAATAAGGCCTTTCAAGCTTGGTATGTGCATATGAACTTATTACTATAGTGATAGTATAAAACACCCTAACACAATATTGCTTTTCTCCTCACTTGAAATCTATTTGGAACGGCCTCAGGGGACAGGATAGGGGGAACGAGCACAGGCACAATGCAACCTATGTAAACCTCTGCAAAAATCATTTAGATTTTATGGATTCAAATTTTAAAAAGCAGAACCTCATTTAAAAAGACAAAGTAATTGCACAGGCCTCTTCATTTTATTTTTCTTTACCAAATCTAGGAGAAATACTGTTGCAAAGAGAGGGAAAAAGAGTGTTTAATGTATTGTTTACAGATTTTTAAAAATTGTTCTTTGGTCTCTTAAATATATTTAAATTTGAATATAGTAAGACTATATTAAGGCAGCAAGTACAAGACATTCTTACAGAGGATTTGTGGCTTTGAACATTTGAGTGAAAAAGACCCAACCAAGGAATTTATCTGTCTAAAAGGGAAAATAACAATCAGCATTTTTAAAAGGAAACAAAGGATTCCTTCCTCCACCAACCAATGCTTATCTAGCTTCATTCAATTTTGCTCAGATTTTCCACAAAAGAAGAAGAGAAAAAAAATCCAGCCTAACTACGTAGAATGACTACGGAAAGTTATGACAAAATGGTTAAAGTACAGAGTGAGTGAGGAAAGGATCGTAATGGAAGGCTATATATAACCAGGTTTGTATCAGCTGCCCTGCCAGAGGTCACGCTATTACCGTATGAAGCAGAGACATTTGCTCTGCATTTAGACCTCAGGCTACATGAAAATTCAAGATAGGATTTCTTGGCTTTATCTGGACCCTCTTCACATTTGAAACTTCAGTTGTTTTATGAAGTCACTCTTTTTTATGAGATGTGTCATGACCACTTTGCACTTCAGGTCCCGTTATGCAAAGTCGGTCTCAGAGTTTCATCTACTTCTTGCAAGCCCTTGTTCCAAGTTACAGAACAATACCAAGTTTGAAAAACAAAAGTCTGACTACTAAAAGCATTTAAAGTATAACACAGCAGTCATCCAGAAGGATACTTCAGAAAGGAAAACTGCAAAAAGTGTTTTGCTTCCCAGGTATTAATAGCAACTTGCTGGACAAAACTGAAAAATGAAACAGTATCTAAATGGGTAATTTTACACAAAGAATTAAGAAATGCAGCAACTGAAAAGCTACAGTGTGCTTGCTCTGTATGCTCTGCTTTAAAGACCGTGTTCCAAGCAAAACATTACACATTTCAGTGGAATACAGGGTCTGTTTTTCACCTTCTAAGAAAACAGTGACCACCTCTAAACAGAGGTAAAACCATAAAATTTTCCTGCTTTGACAGCACATGCAAAGCTACTCGGATCTCCCCATAGTTTTAGCTGTGAACCCAGCATTGTAACAGCAGCCCTCCCTGCATCCATTGCAGCTGCCTTCTGGAAAGGGCTCGTCAGCTCCAGGTCTTGTATGCTGCAGCAGTAGAGACCACAGAGCATATGAAAATATGAAATTTTACAAGACAATGTTACTCAGGCAAAAGAAGAGCCTAGACGAAGCTGAACAGATGCAATGCGTGCTTGACTGTACGTTTAAGGGGACGCAGGGCACAGAGATTAAGCAGCAAGTTAGTGGAAACAGCCAATAAAGATCATTAAAGGATTTAAGCCCTTTCCTCCCCACCAAGAATCCCAGCAAGCACAACCAAAAGATGGCAAGGGAGGGAACAACACATCCCCATCTGGGGATGAGGCACAAAAGACTGAATTAACATTTTTAGAACAAAAATGAAGCAGCTGTAATGACCACAAGGCTTTTGCCTCTCTGGAGTGTAAGTCATCACCTGCTCTTTGCTGACTGCTGCTGTTCAGGCTCTGCCCGGGGTTTTATACGTGGCAGGAAATGCTTACCTCTCGCTGTGCTTTTCTGGCTTGTTTCTCTTCTAATTTCCTCTGCTTCTTTGCTCCAATTTTCCCAGACACCTGAAATTCTGGCACCTCCTCACCCTCCTCTTCCTCTGCAAAGGGAGTTAAAAGAGTGAAAAAATAGACCTTTAAATCATCTGTGAAGAGCCCGTTTAGGAAATGGCACCCATTGCAAAAGACAGATGCAGCAGAGGAAAAGGAGACACAAGTGTGTTTTGGACAAGACCAAATAGAGGGAAAAAAAAAAAAAGGAATTGCCAAAGCCACAAAATAAAAGTAACAATGCAAACACATGCACTGCAGTGAGGTCAGAAATAAAGAGTTTACTGGATCTTTTGAAGGAAAGCTTTCCATAAACATTTTCTTGCTTTCCACAATTAAGAACATACCTTCTATTTTCATATATATCTATATATATACACACACGCACCCTGTTACTACACTTTTAGTACTTAATACCCAGGCACAAAGACTGTCTTTCCAGTTACCCTTAACCTTAACACAACAGACATCCCTTCTAGGACTGGGATGCAGAGGGATACTGGTCGTCATCTAGTTCCAGCATCACATACCTACCACTACCTTATATAGCCAACCGGGAAGAAAAAAACTCCCAACAAGCAAATCTTGGGCTTAATTTCTTTTAATATGCTTCAAAAGCACAACAAATTTGCATGTCATTCACTGTTATACAACCCATTTGGTTGCTTCTAAAGATGATTTGTGCAGACTTGAAATATGAAAGTATCATATTCTCAAATGATGTGCAAATATATGTACATCTTTGTTCACTGGGGGCTAAGAGAAAGGAGCTTTTAAAAACTGCTACCCCCACAATACAGTGTGAATCACTCCATTCACTAATCTAAATTAATCCTTGCTCCTGCAACATAAATACTGTAGGATTGACTTTAACTCTACAGGAGGGAGTGTTAAACCCATCAGCTCCCTGAAACTGGCTGTGACATGGAGATCCATGCCTTCAAATCAGAATTTCAATCAAGACCATGGGGCAAGATCTTCACTACGAGGGTCCCCTGCATCACCTGAAATCATTTATATTTTGAGCACCAACAGAGCTGCTATTCATGACACTGACTTTACATCTAGCTCCATAGGAGTCAGGTGGGTGAGGAAGAGCACGGGCAGCTCTCACATCCCTCCTGATATTCGGAGTTTATCTGGGGGGATTTATATTAGAGAAGAGTGTGCAAGTTTTTCTCAGCCTGTTAAGCAAGCATAAGGATGAACGATACTCCTCTTTCTTTTATATGTAGAATTAGGTCTGAAACACTTTTGTTTTACTAATTCCAATACACCGTACGGTACGATGGTTAAGCCACCGAGACACATCATCAGAAACAAATGAAATTGAGAGCTGTGTAGGTGGCTCTCAAACAGCTCAGCTGTTTTCAGGATATGGAAGTTAACACGAGGCAGGCTTGTCAGCCTGGGCAGAAAAAAAGCACCAATATTTGATTACTGAGATGATCAAAAGGGTTCCCCCTTCCTCCACCACAACAGCGACACTGAAGACTTTACACAGTGGCTTCTATAATTTTACTGCACCTTAAGATATATATATATATATATTTTTTAAATACTGAGTCAAGGGGAGTTCCAAACAAAACAGATGAGCAACCAAGCATCAGAAGTTACTATTTCTCATTCGCAAGTGAATATGAGAATTATTCTTTAGACAAATACTTTTGGAGAACACCATTAAGATATAAAACATTATATATGAGGGAGAGAGTGCTCCCTCAGCAAGATATAAAACATTATATATGAGGGAGAGAGGGCTCCCTCAGCAAGTTTGCTGATGATCCCAAACTGGGAAGAGTAGCTGATACCCCAGAGGGCTGCGCTGCCATCCAGAGGGACCTGGACAGACTGGACAACTGGGCAGTCAGAAACCTCATGAAGTTCAACAAGGCCAAGTGCAAGGTCCTGCACCTGGGGAGGAATAACCCCAGACACCAGCACAGGCTGGGGACCGACCTTCTGGAGAGCAGCTCTGCAGAGAAAGACCTGGGTGTTCTGGGCTCCACAGTACAAGAGGGATGTGGAGCTGCTGGAGAGAGTCCAGCACAGGGCCACAAGGATGATCAGGGGCCTGGAACATCTGCCCTATGAGGAGAGGCTGAGGGAGCTGGGCCTGTTCAGCCTGGAGAAGAGAAGGCTGAGAGAGGATCTGATCAGTGTCTATAAGTACCTCAAGGGAGGCAGTGAGGAGGATGGGGCAGCCTCTTTTCAGTGGTGGCCAGTGATAGGACTGGAGGAAATAGCACAAACTGAAGCACCAAAAGTTCCACAGGAACTTAAGCAAAAATTTCTTGACAGTGAGGGTGACAGAGCACTGGAACAGGCTGCCCAGAGAGGTTGTGCAGTCTCCTTCTCTGGAGATCTTCAAAACCCTCTTGGACGCAGTCCTGTGCCACGTGCTCTAGGCGACCCTGTGTGTGCAGGGGGGCTGGACTAGATGATCTCCAAAGGTCCCTTCTAACCTTAACGATTCTATGATATGACACTACTCAACCTGAATTCCCGAGTGCTTCTCAGATTTTATCTATATATTAAAAGTACGTGAGCCAGGGGTCAGACAGAAGTCTAGCAATTCTTTTAAACCATTTTTCCAGGCCTGGATCAAACGTGGCTTTGTTCAGTTATACTCTTCTTTCCTCCCCTTTGAAGCAGCTGGTGTGATCCCGTAAGTCCCACTTCCTCAAAGCGTTTTCTGGTGCTTGCAGGTACAAACAACAAAAGAGACATACTGGTGGGTTTTTAAGGCCCCGATTCAGCAGATCATTAAGGGTTTACAATGTGTTCAATCCAGCTATGCCATCATTTCCAGAGCTTGCAGAGCATTCCCACTAGGTTCCAGATCCAAGCACCAGACAGCAGAAATGTTTTGATATAGGGAAGGCTTTCACACCACTTTAACATCTCTTGCTTTGTTACGAATGCGAGTTTTGCTCAGCTGGCCAGCTGAGAGGGAGTTTCAGGGCACTCCAGCTTCTCCTTAATGTTTTAAATGCATTGAAGGCTGGCAAGAGGTAGCAGAGTTAATGGTCCCATGGGAGGTGTTTGAATTCCCTGAAATCTGCAGCATGCATTTAAAAAATTTCTCCAAATATCAACAGAAAAGAAAATGTACTGATGTTCTCTATTAGCATAGGAATTTACTGTCCAGCATGCATGGACTCCAAAAGAAACAGAAAGAACACATCTTATTTTTCAGCTGCCTTGAGACCTGTATCAGAGAGGCTTGGTGAAACTTGAAACCAAAGCAAATGGATTCCCATCCACGAAAGAGGACACAAGTAGTACGTGTGGCTGCTCACACAACCTTCCTCGGGCCCTGCAGACTGTTTTATTTATGATGAACATGGCACCCAAGAAGCAGGAGAGGGGTGAAGGTGCCAGGTTCACTGCGAAGCAAACAGCTCGTGCTGGAAGCAGAACACGCATGGTGTGATTAACACTGCAGCGATGCACAACATGAGCCACTGGAAAGGAATCGGTCCACCCTATGGAAAGGTGTGGGCTTTCGTGGGTTACAGAGCTCTGCAGTGGGGTACAGTCATAACAAGCTTATTTTTTAAAATAAAACTATTTGGTAGCTCTCCAGTTCAGGAACTAAATGAGACAGCAGTCTATCGATCCGTAGACACAAAATCGGCCTACACCTAGGACAGAAAAAGGACACTAAACACAGGACACGAAGCCCTTTGAGAAGCAGTCAAACCACTCAAAGCTCTTTCCTGATGACATCTCTTTCTTGAATACATATGGCACAATGGAGAAACCACACACACCTACCTCTTCTACTCACCATCTGTGCTCAAAATGTCTCAAGGCCAGACACAAACTGTGGATACCTTGATAACACTAATGTCACTTTCTATATGAATAGTGGCAAGTCAAAATTAACTTTTGATTCAGTAGTTAGGATATTAGTAGTCATGGAGACAAAGTTTAACTGCACTAGAAAGGTTTTCCTACTGATTAAGCACTACACTTATTTCAATTACTACGTGCATATAGTGCTATTGCCACCTGTTTCACAAGAACACCCAAGGACCACGTAAGTGCTTATAAATTTCCCAGCCCTTCCAGTATATCAGAATATGGGGAGATGCAAAGTTACATCACAGACAGATTGACTGCTCAGGAAAAAATGATGCCTCTTACTGCAATAAAACACATTCTTCCCATTAAGCTCTATACAACATTCATTACTAAGTGCATGGCTAAAATTACTACTTTGAGTATTTTTTTTTTCTAGAATATATACAAAACGTTCAGGCAACTTTCCAGATCTTGCAAGTTATGAACACTAGGTTTAGATGCTACAAAAAACAATACTGGACCGTTTAGCATGTCCAATCATTATGCTCTTTGAGCTTCTAAAACCTTTCTTTTTGTTTTGTGCTATCTTCAACAGCAATTCACAGAGGGAAAACAATACTCTGATCTCCAAACTGTGCCAAGCAAAAAAGAAAGGAACTTGGAATTTAATTTATATTGGACTTGTAAAATAAAACACGATAAAGGTCTTTCAGAAGCTAGATGCTGCTTTGGGTAGCACTAGACACACACCCTGTCAAAAGCTGCTGGTTTTATCATTACCGATTCTACAGAAATAAAGTCATTTAAATTTAACCCAGTTTTCACTGTACTGTGTGTTGCTGCACCTGCTGCTGAGATGCACAGGGGTAACAGCTCAAAGAGGAGGTTGAGACATTCAACATTTTTGAGTCATACTTCTACCAAAAGCAGCAAAGCTACAGCTGTGGACCAAACCAGATTATTTCTTTAATGCATTTTTTTTTTTAGTTTATTTGTGTGTAGGATGTAGAATTGACCCCCTTTCAAAAACAAGCCCTTGAAGCATTTCCCCAGGACCACGCACCAGGCTGCTCAGGCATTTCCCTCTCTCATGCCATTTCTGCTTGCTTCTTTCTCAGACTAGCTCAGCCTCACCCACAATACCCACCAAAACTTCCACCCACAGGGCTGCCCAGTGGTCTCTGTTTTGCTTGATGGTTTGGAGATTGCTATCAGTTCTTAGAGAAGGTTGTTTCTTTCTAACTGCTCTAAATCACAGTGCAGTGACACCCACCAGTTTCAACAGACAAGTATGTTCTTTTTCTCTCCCTGGACAACAGCAAGTTTTAGGTCTTATTGTGCAGCTCAGAGTGACAGAAAATCTGGAATGAAAAATCTGTGTCCCACTCGCCAGCTGCCTGGACAACTCTGGATCAGGCACTTCCCATGCGCCTGTCTGCTTCTTTCCACCTGCACATACTTTTTATCATAGGCAGATGGGTTCTCCCATTACATATTTGTACAAAGCGCCTGTTTGAAATTAGGTAAAACAGTTCTTCAAGCAATGAAGAATTTGCCTCAGATCACCGTCCTCATTACTTTTACTGAGGAGGATCAAGAGAGCCCAGCCATACTTGCTGTTTGAAGTTCCTTTAAGTTTCTTGATATGAATTTACAGCTCACCTTTAGGCAAAAACTGGGCTGGCTGAGTAACTTTCTGCTTAAAAAAGCAGGAAAAAAAAAGTAGCATCAGGAAAATAATCTCCTTCTTTGCTGAGCTCTCTCCAGTGCTCAAGGCACAGTCAGCAACTTTGGAAGTACAAGCTCCACCTGAGAACTGGACAACTGCTTTTTCTGTAAATAACCAGCAACAAATAAAAGCTCTAGATAAGCCTCCTTACAGACATCCAAAAATGGAGTCCAAGTGGACTCACTCAGAGCATCAGTCAGGCAAAAACAAGGGCTGATAGTGACCTCCTCAGTGAGAACGGGAGCAGGGCCTGGAATTGGGAAATGGCTAATGTTATTTATGGACACTGCTCCATGCTACGAATTATCCAGAACCTGATTCCAATTTGTCCCTTTCTCCTCCTTCCACTGTTCAGTTTGGCTTTTCCTACCCCAAAGGATTAATGCCCAAAATCCACACACGTTCATGCCTTACAGTAAGTTGATTTGTCTTTGCTGTAGCTAACTCCACAAAGCCTCTTTTGGCCAGGCTAGATTTGAATTACGATCCAACAGAGCTAAATCTGCTGGCTGGAATATTAGAAGTAACTTAAGGAGCTGCACAGAGCTCTCCTTCCAGACCATTTCCCATTTGAAGATGGGCAAACATTCTCCGAGGAACATAGACTGGAACGGTTGCCTCAGTTGCACAGGACTGCACGAAAGACAGCAGTGAAATGACAAGGATTAAGACGGGCAACATCGGCCACACACAGAGAATCACAGAAAGGTTGAGGTTGGAAGGGACCTCTAGAGATGATCTAGTCCAACCCCCCTGCTCCAGCAGGGACACCTAGAGCACTGGGCACAGGGTGGCATCGAGGCAGGACTGGAAGATCTCCGAAGAAGGACCAACCAAACACGTTTTTCTAAGATGGCCTGGAAGTTCTGTCAATGGAACACGGCTTGGTGGTCTCACTCATTTTGAGAATCACTTTGTCATCAGAGCAAAATATGTTCCCAGCAAACTTTGGTCATAGCAGTCTATTATTAGATATTGATTCTCTCATAAGAGATGACCTCCTTTGAGTACTCAACTAACCACTGAAAAACATTACTCAGCCAAACCGCGCCAGTGTAGGCACCTGCCTAGCAAGCCTGCCCCCACAGCTCAGCACAGCACAACCCACATGGAACCCATGAACAAGGAACCTCTATTTGCACTGTGGGTTACAGCTGTATGAAGAAACCAGAGGCATTTAGTGCTCTGACCTTTATTTTTTTGTCTTTGACAACTTGCAAATAGTTCAGATGTTCTACCCCAGCCCACCTGAGCTATAGGAAGAAATTACAGCTTGACTTAGCTCCGCTTGCTAAATGGAGATTTGAATCTTCAAAATAACCATTTTCTATCCATGCTTACACTGAATGTCTCTCCCTTTCCCACACTTCCAGTAAGAAAGATTTAAGATTTCAATTAGATTACTTGCAAAGATGAAAATTTTAGTTGACTATACAAGAAAAAAAAAAAAAGGCAACTAAAACCTACCAAGAATTTTGTAGCCATAGAATTACTTTCAATATGGGCACACAGAAAAACTTAGTAGGGGCAGCAGAAGCTATGAGTTACTAATTTTATCTTTGAAGCTTTTTCATTCTGGAATTGAAATCTGATTGTTAGATGGAAAAAAGAAAACCCTCATGTTAGCCACAACTACAAAGCCTGCAAGAGTTACCATTAGCCCGTTTCCTCAAGTCAACAGAACTGGCTCTTGGCAGGCTGAACACTTTGGTGATAATACACGTTATCATGTCGGCGGGCGGGGGGGAGGGGGGAGGCTAATCCCAAGTAATGTGTCCATCAGTCATTCTGTACCTCTGAAACAGATACTTCTCTCCAAAGCCCACTCATGCTCTCCGAGGCTGTGGTGTTACTGCTGTATATCAGTTGCTCTAGCACTTGGAAAGACCATCCCAGAGTATGAGCAAAAAGCAACACATAAAAGCACAAAATTGAAACAGAAGAGAGAGCAAGAAGTTGTTTCTACTTGGAAAAAGGAGGAAAAATATCATTCCAAAGAAAACTTAAAGCAAAAGCAACAGGGCTGTTATCTGATGTAAAGTAAGCAGCAAAAGAATTATTTATAAATCCCAATGCATGGATTCTTCCATTGCTACAGACACGAACTAAGATAAGCAGCCTGCTTTGACAGCTTCACTTTGGTCCCTTGGCATTCAGACTTTTGAAGTCTGGAATCTAAAGGGAGAAGATTTTTATATTTCATTTTCTTTCCAGGATGTTCTCACATGAAAATTAATAAAGTTGAAAAGTTCAGGCCCGTCAATTTTCCATTTGAGAAACTGTTGAACGTAATTAGCCTGAATAGCACATTTTCCTGCCAATGTGAGCACAAAATGCTTTCTACAAGCTTCAAGTCAAGAAAAGCTGGGAAAGAACAATTATCCCCAAATGAAGGCATCACTATCTCTTAACAACTGCAGACCAAAGTCATCACCTTGGTCTCCACTGGAAACTCCAGTGCAGCAAGGTTCACTTTTATCTATACTTGAACATGAGCCCTGATCGCTTAACCTATGATCTGTGAGTGAAAGAAATCCAGTTAGAAGAATCACACTGGTATCATCTTTGAAGAGTAATAGAGATAAAAAGGTGTGAAGTTTCACCAGAGCAGGCAGTGGATGCAGTAGGGTTTGTGGGTGCAGAAAGGAGTTACTTACCACCATTTTCATGTCTATCACCACACCATAAAAATGTAGTTATGAACTGTAGGTTCAGGACAGGAACAGAGGACTCATTAGCAGCAATCTGTTGCTGGAAGGCAAAATGCTGCAGTCTCTGTGCTAATCAGACTTGATTCTAGTCATTACCTGGATTGCTTCTCAAAAAAGGAAAACTTTGTCAATGTTGTGGGGAATAAACTGGGGAATTAGTGCTTCCCACTGCTTTGCAACAAACCAATACTTTACTAGAGCTTTACAAATGAACTCAATCAAATGTTACCTTCGTCCCAGTCCTCTGCCTGTTGTGCTCTCCTTTGGGCCATCATCCGATTCCCCAGGTTCCTCCGGCGTCTGGGCATCCCGTCCCCTCGGTCTTCGGCCTGGGGCCGAGCTCTGGCCACCGCTGCTGCTGCCGCCGCCGCCACATTTTGCTGCTGTTCCTCATCAGCTGCAGAAGGGAAACACATTCAGTAAGAAACTGCCATCTCTGCTCTGATGCAGAGGTCACTTTGCCAGTCAACTTGTGCAATCAGAAGTACATTACTAGAGTGATTTTCCAAATTAGAGTGTGTATCTTCATCCTCACATGCTTTTTTTCCTCCGCCCTGCATGGCCACAGCTATAAGTAGCAGGTTGCTCTCCAGTGATTAAGCAGCATCTTGCTCTGGTACCTTCCCATCTGTGCACAGCGCTTTGTGCAATGCTTCATCCTGACAGCACTTGCTTTTGCAACTGAGTATTGATCACCTTAAAGCATATAGCATAAGGCTTTTATTTATTGTACATTTCTGCACTTCATCTGATATGACAGAGCCCTTACACTTAAAAAACCCAAAAACCTAGAACTGCCCAAAAATTGCCCTTAACTAATCCAAACAGATTGTTTCATTCTTAAACTAGAAAATATTTTACCTGGTGAGACTGACAGTCCAGGCAATTCTGAGTTAGCGAAAGGCAGGAGCCCAGGAATATTTTTCTTCCCTGCTAAAGCATTCAGATTTTTTTTTTTTTTGGTTGTTGTATTTGTAGAATTTAGAACACAACTTGGGAGCACACGCTTTGGAAAAGAGCATGTAATTCTTTATACCTGAAACAAAACCTGAACAAGTAAGGGCTACACATTATGCCTTGCATACATTCAACATAACGCCATTCTACCATGCTGATTTAAACTGTGTTTCTTCCCCTATACACATGGACAGAAGGCAAATGCCAGGAGAGGACAGACTGCCAAAGGAGTCCGACTTTTCCATCACATTGCAAAGTTGTGCACAGTTACCAACTGAGCTCTGCAAATGAGGAATATCACAACAAAGGAGCACCCAGGAGACAGCATGGGAGAAAACTACTGACTGGTGGGCTCATTGAGAAAGTTTTCCACAGAACCACACGGAAAGTTTCCCTCTGAGACCTCCATGCTTCTACCACTACCTAGTACGGTAGCTCTGCGGCAACAATCAGATAAGGGAAAGGCACCATCAGCCTTGATACCTGCTTTGCATATTCCTCTGATAAGCGTAACTGATATTTATGTACGTTGTTACCTGCTCAATCCTGCAAAATGTTGATTGTTACGGCCTTAATGTAACTAATCATTCGAATGGTGTTGCAGAAAGCAGTGGAACTGCTCACGTATTCTAACTCGGACACAAATGCTTGTCCTTTGCTGGATTATATTTCTGTGATCCAAGAGGAGCACAGAAAGTTCTCCCCACTGCATGAAGTTTCCAGCATCCTCTGATCCAACCAATTCCTTTCTAAAAAAACCTACTGTTCAAATATCTAAGATGTGAAAACAAGATTCACTATGACTACATCTACGTGATGATCAAAGGTGTGCTCACAGCTCATGTCTGTATATTGGAACTAGCTTCAAAGCAGCCAACTTTGGTGCCGATAATAGAGCTGCAACAGCATCGAGCTCAGCATAAACTGCAAAGCAGGGTGATCTGGAGAAGTATTTGGACATCAAAGCCATTTTACCAGTTCAGGATTGCTGCAATGCTGCTGTTAGCAGCACGCAGGGAAGCTCCCAGTGCAGACAACACACTGTGACATTCTGAGTTGAGTCATTGCAGTATCACCCTGCTGTTACGCTCCTGTTCTCATCCACTCCCTTTGGTCTCTGGACCAAGAACAAGTCCACAATATATTACAGAACGCAGGCTCTAGAGATCACATAATTCTGCTGCTTCTTCAGGACTTGCCCAGCCTGATCTTCAGTGCTATAAAACAATGAGGGAAACGTTATGCCTCAAAGGCAGCGTAGCAGATCATTTACTTGGGACACTGTTAAATGTCTGAAATGCTCTGGGTTAGAGTGTGCAAAAAAGATGGTTTATTTAAGTGCAGTATTTCTCTCAAAATACCTTACGGTTCAGAACTTATCACTCTTCTATTCAAAAGCTTCAACACACCCACATCAGTAACTTTCCAAGCTGGTCCTGCACAGCATATCAGCTATGCAGCTCAAATGCTCATTCATCCTTGTTTTGGTTCCCATCTTCCTGCAAAGCAGGGACCATTATGCACTTCCTGAAAGAGGAATCTATTTATAAGTTACAAATTCATTTCAAACCAAGCTGCTTAACTCTCCTGGAGGCAAACAAGTGAGCCCAGTCTTAATTTTCTCCAGAAGACTGTAATTCCCCAAAGTTGGCTAGCATTAAAGTGAGCTCAGATAGAATAAAACCTGCCCATACTGTGTCATATCACAGCAAAATGCACAAGGTAGTTGTTGAACACTATTTGGCTTTTCACATCTCCAAAATTCTGTCACTCTGCACACAACAAAACACATCTAAGCTCTGTGGATTTTCATCTAGTAGAAATCCTGCTTTAATCCATCTGTTTTTCCTCTGCCCTTCCATTTGCAGGACATTCAACTGGACAGGAGTTTGAAAATGGTGAGCATCAGTCCTTAAACTTCCCCCACCCCTCACAGGGTGGAAGGAAAAAAAAGGTTGTTTTTCCCCTAACATGCTTGTACCTGGCTTGTTCTTCAGCTTTCAAATATTTGTCTATAGGACTCAGAAAACATCTGTTTCTTCCAGAATCTACCGAGTTGGCTGTGTTCCCTCTCCTGCCCCTCTGGGATCATTACAGACCCACAAGAGCCACGTGCACAGAATTGGAGGGGTGAGACTGATGGTATAGAACCCTACAGGAAAAAAAAAAAAAAAACACTTTAAAACCTTGCTCTTAAATAAAAAAATGCTCACTCATACTCTTGGAAATGGATTGGCCACCAGATTTGGGGTCAAGAATAATTCTCTCCCAGGTCAGAGCCTGTGGGTATTTTTTGAGCTCCTCCTGAAGCACAGGGTGCGTTTCAGCTGCTGCGATTATCTGGACACATCTCAGCCTGCAGCTTCCTGTGACCACAGAAGTCTCAGACACGTCTAGTGTGTCCTTTAGTCACACCAGGGCTGACATGCTTCAATTAGCCATGAGATAGAGGCCCCTGAGTGGAACTTAATGACCAGCATTATGCAGGTCAGATCAGATGAGCCCATTCCTGTCTGATGGTTTGCAGAGTGCTGAGACAGAGAAGTTACACTAGAGTCCTAAGTTAATAGACCATATGAGTGGGAAAATAATGATGTCAGAAAAATTAACATAGCTTGAAAGCATGGTTTAGTTTTTATTAAAAGCATCAGATACTCCAGGTGATGACTCAGCCTTACAAAAAATGAAGGAATAGCTCACTTCAGAAGATAGCAGGTTTACTGATGTGCTGAGAACAGCTTGTCTCTGCATTTTCAGAGGAAAAAAAAAACACAGCACAGAGGCAGTAACAGAGATTATTTCATGTGCCTTGTCAGTCAGGGCACAGCAACAACCATGAGACTGTACTTGCACTGTCACTTTATCCTCATGTAAGTCACGCAAGAAATAGCAAAAAAAAAATTCCTACAGGAAGCAGAACAGTTTCTGAAGCAGGATGTGAAGCTTTACCTTGAGATCCTTATGAAAAGTGCTGAGAAATCTCTCGGAGCACAGGGTTCCTAGAAGCTAGTTTTACATTCCCGGGTAGAACTTTATTCCTTTACGAAGCTCTGCAGAATTCCACTTCCTCGGAGCAAACACTTATCAGTCAGTACTTTGCTCATCACAGTGCCCTGTCTTCAGTTACATTGAACAACCCCGGCAGCGTAGTTCCAGGCTGGCAAGTTTGGAGTCCCTACAAACTGGGCTGCTGGGCTGTTAGCTCCCTTGCTCTGCACTATGCAGCACAAAGAGCTCCACCTGCTGCACTCCTGCGGATTACAGGCACTTCCCACCACGCTTCCCTGCAGCATCCAGCATCTTCCACCTTCACACTGACCTAGCCCCTGAAATCCAAGGAGACATCCAAAGAGGACAGGTAGAAATATGCTTGGCTTTCCAGAGGAAGCACTCATGCCTGGTCCAGTTTATCCTATTACGGCATGTTCACAAAGACCATAGCCATACACAAGTGATGGACATGCCATCTCTTTATTAAAACCAGAAATGCTACTACTTCTTTTTTCACTATTCCGAGCAGAACATGCCCAGACGTGATCCTGCTAAAAACATCCTGCTGCTTGAAATGACCTTTTCAAGGAAATACAAAGTTGCAGTGTTTGCCTCTTATGATTTTTAGCTTCCTTCATTATTTAAAGCCACAAGAACTTCAACTTTTTCAAACAGCAGCTCCCCCAGTCAGAGCATACACAGTTTTGATTCCTCCCCATTGATTTAAAAATAAAAAGGTGAGAGAGAAGGGTCTCAATCCTGCAACAGCGACCATCACTTCTACAGGTTAGACTTCCCTGCATTAAAGTTCTTTCCATGTTAGTGGCATGAATTTACTACCAGATTTGTACCATTTCCATTTTCCAGGTAAGAAAAAAGGCACAGGAAAGCAAATTCCTGATGAGGCTGATTTTTGCAGCTATTAAACACACCAACGCCCCAGGGGTTTTGAAAAATAGTTTCTGTCACATCAGGAGAACAAAATCACTCCCACAAGACTGAAACTCTGTAAAGGACTTTGTAATGACAGTAGTCAATACATTAAGGTAACAAGTTTGCTTAGGTTAGTCAAGAAAATAAAGACTATTTGGGAAGAGTCAAAAAGAAAGACTTCAAAACAACTGAGTTAATCCTGAATATAAACTCATTTTAACTAAATGGCTCAAAAGTGGCATTAAGCCTTTTTGAGCACTCCCATTATTTAAAACAAATGCTTGGGCTTCCATGTAGTTAGAACCTCATGCATCTGAAAAAAGAAAAAAGAAAAAAAAAAAGAAAAAAGAAAAAAAAAACAGACAAAAAAAATATCCCAGGCCCATACCTCCTGATTACGCCAAGCCATGCAAATGAAACTTGTAATATTCCTGCAGCGGCCTCATTTCTCTAGGATATGCATCATCTAGTTTTATCAACAGCACAGTCCTAAGAAGCTAATGAACTAATGAAACTTCATCAGCTTCTAACCTGTTGAGAAAGAAAGACTAAGAACAAATCTAAACAATAAAAGGTCTCAGATTGTTGGGAAAAAAAAATAATCACATACTACTGAACTTCTATCAGCAAAACATACTTTTAACAAGGTCCTCATGCATGGTACCACTGTGCACTGGTATGACTGTGTTTATACTAGGGTGTTTTTATAGAAAAATTATCAAAGGTATTCTCCCTCCCAAGGCTCCCCTCCTAACTCCTGCAACTTGTGCTGCAATATTGACAAGAGGCTTCAGTGGTTACTGAGGCTAAACAATCCAAATGGGAGCCTTTGCAGCTAAACAACCTCCCTGCTTTCATTCTGGAAATATAACAATGCAGATAAGATGACAGTTGCATCTGACTCCTTCCCATGACCACTGAAACAAGGTCATTTTGTGCAGGGTTTCATGCTGCTGGCCAGCAGGAAACACTCACCGTGGGGGAAGAGATGGCCGTTTGCAAATGCTGCATCATCTACCCCTTCCCACACAGGACTGCATAACGCAGTGCCTAAAAACGCTCCTGCCGGTGCCCGCAGCAGAGAGTGGCCCTTGATGGATGGAAAAGCAGAAGTGCCAAGAGGGAAATTTCTGCGGAGTTCGTCTAATGGAGGCCAGCACTGAGAAGAGAGGGCAGCCCTGGGGTGCAGCTCTCAGGCGTAACGCGAATGGTGCGAGCTCTGCCCATAACCCTACCCACTTGCCAAGATCTTTGGGGGAAAACTGGAGGATTAATTAAATATATATATATATATAAAATCACCCTTTAAGACGAAAACACACCATGTGTAGTGAATACGGCCAAGGCTCCTCACACAAGCAACGCTGCCATCTCCTAGCCCGTTCGAGCGCCCTGCTGACCTGCAGCCACTGTGGAGCTGCCCTGAGTGGGCCTGGCAGGACGGAGAGGGCCCTGTCCTTCACAGATCCGTCTGGGGGAAAATGCTGCGATTCAGGCACACAGTGTGCACAAGGTGCCTTAAATCCTCCCCATATACATATTTGGAAAACTGATCAGGAGTGCAGGAATTCCCCTGGAAAAGATCTTCCCGGGAAAGTTGTGCAAACTCTTTACTGCTCCCCTCACTCCTCAGCGGGTGACGTGAGTTGTGCCAGGCCTCAGAGGCAGGTTCCCCCTCGGGGAGGGGAAATAAGAAGGGGGTGCAGTTTCACACTCCCCTTCCATAGTGGCTCCTCTTCAATGACCCCCTTCCCACCAGGGCCTCCCTAGATACCCTCCCCCCCACCAACCCCACCACCGGACCCAGTTGAAAGCAGGGGCGGACCCGACAGAGCACCCCCGCCCCCAAACCCGGAACAAGGCAGAGCGGAGGGACACAGGGGGAAGGGAGGAGATTCCCCCAGACCCACCTGCCCTAGCCTGGCCCCGCAGGCGGGTGGCGAAGAAGACGAGCACAGCGAAGAGCGCGGCA